CGCCGCAAGGCTTTCCTCCACTGGTGAGTGAAATAAGACTGATGTGTGTGGGGAGAAGTTTGTGTTCTTGTGCTGGCCTGTTCTTACTCAGAATTCACACAAGCTTTTACTTTACGTCCATTGTTTCAGGTACACTGGTGAAGGTATGGACGAGATGGAGTTCACAGAGGCTGAGAGCAACATGAACGACCTGGTGTCGGAGTACCAGCAGTACCAGGACGCCACTGTTGAAGACGAGAGCGAGTCTGAGAATGGAGACAAGGAGGAATTCTTCTAAACAACAGCCATGACCTGTTCCAGGCTCCCTGCTACTTCATCCATGTCTGTAAGAAGACAGCCTGAGAGCCCTGCCAACCAAAAACACACACGCACACACACACGGAAACACATGCACGCTGGTAGAAGTAATAAAGCTTTCCACCTCCTGTAAGTCCCAACATGCACTTACAGTAAAAATTAGTTTAATAGGTCATCATCTTATAGTTCTTGAAAAGGAAACAGTTCTTTTGTCCTGTCCTTAGTCCGGTTTTGTTCTTCCAGAGGTTTCTCCCTGTTAATGAGGGAGTTTTTCCTCTCCACAGTCACCAAAGTGCTTGCTCATTGTGGGAACTGTTGGGTTTCTCTATATTTTTATTTAAAAGTCCTGACCTTCTATGTAAAGTGCCTTGAGATAATGTATATTATGATTTGGCGCTATACAAAAGAAATTGAACTGAATTGAATTGAATTCCTTACTGAGGAGTGCAAAGAAATTCCCCAGGCTTCTTTTTGTTTCTTCTCTCTTTGTTTTGTGTCACTGTCACACCCTGAGCCACAATGGCAACAATAAAACATCTGGCATGGGTCAACAAACACAAACACACTTAAACACACAAAAATTTAATTCGGTCTTAGAGAACACGATCTTGCAGGCCCACCTCATCACTCTGACCATCCTGTTTCACAGTCAGCACCATGCTGTCACTGTGCTGGTCCTGGCCACGTCCACACCAAAAGCCTGAGATTATCTGACCTGAGACTGTGAGGACAGCTCTAAGTAAAAGAGTGAATACACCCAGGACACATTTAAGATCTGATCGCTCACACCACATGGTCTGTGACGCATATGGCCACATTCTATTAGAGGTGTTAACTAGGGCTGTTCGATTTTGCCCAAAAATAAAAATAAAAAACCCCGATTTCCGATTTTTTTTGTGAAATGACAAAAGGCAAAGAAAATATTTCAAATATGCAATTTTTTTATTGAACATTTTGCAAATAATTTCCCCATTGGCCTGGCAGCTTGTAGCGGGGGTCCAGCACATGAAACAAATGTTGGAAGCCAGCTGTATATATCGGGGCCGTGTCTACTGCGATGTGAAACGCGACTGCATCCGTAAAAATTTTCCACCTCCTTTCGGTCTTGTCATGTCTTGTGGTACACCACGTGAAAACAAAACCGGCAGAGTTGCTTGCTTCGGAGTTGGTGGTGGTGTAGCCGCATCCACGTTCTCTTGAGCAACACACTGCTGCCATTCCGGTACGTGGCTTCTCTGGAGGTGTTGAAATAAGTTAGGCGTGCTGTGGTTTTTAACTCGGAGACAGACTTTAGAACGTGGAGTATCTTGCTCTTCATCCGAAGCGTCGAAGCTGCTTCCACACAACGGACTTGCTCTTCCTCTTGGCAACGAAATCCAACGCTGACATGTTTGTTTACAATGTGTGGAGGACGGAGGCGGAAGTCACCACCACGGCAACACATATGCAGCCCAGATACATGAACGGGGGGCTGTACCGTAATTACCCTAGTTGAAATGAAAAACCGTATTTGCGATTACGATTTAAAACCGATTAATCGAACAGGCCTAGTGTAAACATTATGTTTCACATATTACAATTGAGTGACATATATTGTCTCAAGTCTATGGTACCATGTTCGTTGGCGCGCTGTTGGAGCTCATGTGTAACCCTCCGGTGGAGAATTGTTCGTACTCACGGTCCCTTGGAAGCTCTGACAGCTGGTGGTACCGGTCCATTCGCACCCCCGACACCGCAGCGAGCAGAAGGAAGAAGAGAAGCCCTGTCGACGTGCAGGAAGTCCCTGGCGGCATTTCCCGAGCAACCTCTACCGCAGCAGCACGAGCGGCGATGTCCGCACACTAACATTAAAAGTCAAAACCTCAAATGAATACACTGTTAGAACACCAGACATGTGCGAAACTTTAGCGCTCCTAATATTTATACTCACTCAGACACTTGTAAATAAACCCAGGCTTCCCACAAGCAGCCTGGCGCAGGTCCTTCCGCTCCAGGAGGCGCACGCTAGTCAGCTAACTCAGTTTCACGTGCTAACAGTTGAGCTAATTTAGCAACAATGCTCACTCAAACGTCTCCAGACACGGCTGACAGTCCGGCTGGTTTAGGCTACACTGAGTCGCAATCCCGCTGGGTCTTAATTCTTGCAATATATTGTATTTACTGAGAATAAAACGAAGTTAGAGCAGCGTAATGTCCTCTCTCATGTTCTCGCGTTTCTTCACGCTCCGTCTCCTACGGTCTGAACTAAGTCCCGCCCTTCACAGGCCCCCGACAGGTCAAAATCCCACCCTGACTTGATTGATTGACACCTGTCCATCCAATAAAGAAACAGAAAACGGACTTGAGAAGTTCAAGGTCTGTTCGAAATATGGGATATTTGATCATCTTAACAAAAATACACAGTTTCCCATATTAATGCAGAAATTAAACCACATGAGTAATACATGAAGAATCTAAATCATCACGAGGATAAAGCCACATTGCAGATATTAAAATACTACAGTATGAATTTAAATCAGTAGGGCACTACACACAGGGAGTTGCAGAAGCTGTGTTCATGTGTGCATACTTAAGATTGATAACCATGGAAGTGTCACATCTGGTGTTGGTATAAGGTACACAGCTACAAGTAATGAAACTTGCAACGTGTGTGTTAGATTTACAGTGTGTGCATGATGTAGCATTGATAATGGTCAATAATATTGACAGCACAGAAGCAGTGGGGGGGTGCTTAGGGGCCCATAAAGGCCGGATCTCAACGTATAGTGTTGATGTCACTGCAGAGCAATAGACCCTGTCATTTGCAGGAGGCAAATTAATTTGAGTATTAATGTCCTCATTACATCACAACTCTGAAACCCACTTAACACCTTCAGCAGCTCACTGATGAAAATAGCTTTATTCTTCCTTTAAATGCAAGACCACCAAAAGCCAGTGAGAACAACAGCTTCGGCAGAGAGTGGAGGAGGCCGATGTTAAAATAATACATTACCCGTCCTGCTGAAGCAACATTTCTGCTGTGATAATCTATGTGGGAGAGAACAGTCATACTGCGGACCCTCGGCAGAAATAGACACATATCTTCACTCTGCCTATGCTCCTGTTCAGTGAGATGACACAGTAAAGGATATTTGAAAACCTTCTCTAAATATTAAAAACAACAAACTAAGGAGCTGATTGCCCCTAAAACGGATGATGAGCAGCAGAAGCCGTGGGTGGGATTTTGCCCCTGAAATGTTTCGTTTGGGCCGAATGTCTCTGACGGTGAACAGAGCTCATTCCTGGACGAACTCCAGTCCAGGACAAACTGTCAAAGTGCATTTCATATCTGCTTTAGCCTGTTTCAAGCTCAAAGTATGTATGCTGCTGATTTACATTATGTGATAGGATGCATAACAGTCAGTAAACATTACAGTGATAATTTAATCTTCCATGTCGCCCTCCTTCAGAGTCAGTCACAATCACACTTGCTTTTATTAGCTGGATAAACGTCCAGGCAGCATACTCTCAGCCAATATACTTTGGTTTTTATTCATATGAATTTAGGACATTTTGAGTCCAGACAGTCCCAGTGTAAACATATAAGTAGACAGAACATAATAAGTACTCAACACATAGTACACAGTACGACACAGTATGCAGTCATAGGGCACATGGTGGATAGGATGAGAGTAGTGCAAACCAGAATACTGCAAGAATACTGCGGTTTGTAGAATTGATTTTAACATCATATGGCTTGGTTTATAAATTACTTACTGGCCCTAGTTCCTCATCCCTTGTACCCCTTCTCTTCAGTCTGCTAAGCAGGTGTTGCTCTGTGCACCGGGGACAAGACAGAGGGTGGTCGAGCTGTCCACTGCCTCAAAATAACCTTCTTTTATCAGACAAGCTTTACCTCTGTCTTAATAAAATGCCTCTCAATCATTCATTATCTCATGCATTAACTTTGTAAACTTGTAATTGCACCAGGTTTTTATGTCACCAAAGCTCTTAACCTATTTCTAAGTGCTATATAAAGTTAATAATTTGTTTATTATTATCATTATACATTTAATATAATAATTATAGTTTTGAATACAGGGATCTGATTTTTATAGGGTATTTGCAGATACTATGGCTGCATATTTCTCATTAAGATTTACTGAGTTAAATTAGACACTGTTCACTCTCAGTCTATCCAACAGTCTGATTCTGACACTTGGAGGAGGAGCAGGAGGAGGAGGAGGAGCAGGAGGAGCAGGAGGAGGAGGAGGAGGGTCGTGCAGCTAATTGAGGGGCCGCCCACCGGCCAGCATGCACACCGTGCAGACTCCGGCAGCTCTCCCCCTGCAGATCCTCAGCTCTGCGGCTCTTTACCTCCTCGGCTCCTCAGAGTGATGACATCTTGAGGGAGACTTCTGCTCCAGAGACTGAACTGGTTTCCACAGCCAACATGAATGAGGTGAAGATTGCCGTGCTGGGGGGTGAAGGCGTTGGCAAATCAGGTAGGAGAGCTGGGACACATGTAACTGAACATAAGTAAGACAAGTTTGTCTCCTTCAGTGGACCTCACCTGACTAATTGTCTGTATACACCTGTCTGTACCTGTCTGTCTGTTTATACCTCTGTATCTGTCTGTCTGTCTGTCTCTAACTGTCTGTCTGTATCTGTCTGTCTGCAGCTCTCATCGTCCGGTTCCTCACCAGGCGTTTTATTGGCGAGTATGCATCCTCCTCAGGTAAAACTAATAATTAATTACCTGTGTTTAAATATTAATAATGATTACTAAGAATAATACAAAATGAAAAAGGAATAAATAGGTACATTTAAAGGGAGAACACCCGGATATATTGTGAACACATTTAATTTAATTTTACTTCTTTGTCCTTATTTCTAATGTGTTTTTCATTACTCTAAGTTTTCTCTTTTAATTGTGTGGGTTAACCTTTGATTCTCAATGAAAATATTCCTTTAAAAAAATAACAGTAACTATGTCATGATGGAAATCCTGGAGTTGGAACAGTGTGGCTGCACAGATCCAAATCATAACAAATTTTATCTCAAGGCACTTTACATAGAAGGTCAAGAAACCCAACAGTCCCCACAGTGAGCAGCCCTTGATTCATTCTTCATTCTCCTTAAACTATCTGATCCATTCATTTAGTCTTATTTTTGAATCTGCCACCATCTGCTCTGAGGAGCCACGCTCCACGATGGTCACGTGACCTGCGAGTGACTCAACATTGTCCTTAGATAGTGGCTCAATATGCCTTTGTTTTCCTCAGAGTAATCTGGTTTCATGTGCGCGAGTTCTGTTTCGCCTTCAGACCAGAACAAATCAGCAGAGCCGAGAGGAGCTGCTGCAGAGTCTATGTTTACCTCTGGCCTCGGGTACGTGATTACACGTGAAACGTTCTGGCCTGATTAAACTATCTACAGTCAACTGAGAGCACACATGCTCGGTGTTGTTGATTCTGCTTCAGCTTATTCGATGCTGCACTTTGCCATTAAGAAGGTGCAGGGCCTCCGCCAGTGTTTTTTGAGCCTCGCCACCTCTCAGTAAAGGGTCTGTACAAACAGACTGACACACAATGAAGTGTTTTTCAGGTACGTAGCAATAAAGGGACATAAGTCTCACTGTTGGTGACACATGCATGGTTCGTAATCTACAAATATTCACAAAATATACTAATGCATCACCATCACCAGCCAAATTTGATGTTTACAAACTGCACATCAGCCTCCTGACACCACAAGGGATGAGCTCAGAGGCTGTCTGAGATCCGCAGCTGCACCCTCACCCCCAAGATTCATTTTTAAATAATACAAAGACCTCTTGCTTGGATGTCGACTTTTTAGTTTGAATCGCAGTGAACACAATCACAATAATCAACTTCCCGTCGTTTTGTTAACTTGATGAAATTCTTATTACACTCTTGTATTATGAGGGTGTGTCTTCATTCTCTTGCTCCTTTCTTTACTCGTTCTTCCACAGAGTGCGTGTACAGGAAGTGTCTGTCTGTGGATGGGAGGCAGGTTCATCTGGAGCTCTATGACCCCTGCTCTCAGGTGAGCTATTATTTATGGGGCCGTTTTCCTATTATTGTTCCAACTGCCGTTCTATTGGTTGGAGAATTTTGACAGACCAGAGTTGGAGCACAGTTGGAGACACAGTTTGAGCACAAGCTGAGCTAATCTAAGCACAAGCAGGGTCTACATGAGTGCAGGCATTACAAAATCTGAAAACATGAAATCAATATATCTTTCTCTAAAACTGAGAGGCCACACTCTTGAGTAAAGAGAGGAAAAGGAGCATAATTATGCATAATTGAAACATAACCCCATTAGTATCATCCATCTTAGTTTGCAGAGCCAGTCATGCATGTGGCCGTCCTCAGCTGAACCACTGTCCATTCATCTGAGTTAGATATCAAGGCCAAATCCATAGACACATCACAATCACAAACTCTAAACCCTGCTTAAAGTATTACCCCCTCCATTTATTTGCTGGGACAACAGTGCACACATTATTTTGACCACATCCATGTTTTTTATTAATTGACTTTTAATATTGTTAAACTGTGTTTGTCTCTGTTTCAGGCCTGTGAGGGTAAGTCTGCTTTGAACAGCCAGATCCACTGGGCTGATGGTTTCATTTTGGTGTACGATATCAGCGACCGCTCCTCCTTCCTCACCGCCAAAGCCACCGTGCACCTCATCCGAGAGCTGCACCTGGGATCTGCCAAAAGGTGTGGACTAAGATCACTTTACCCCCCGCCAAGGTTAAAGCCCCTTTATCCTGATGTGCCCCAAATTTGAATGAGTTCTTTCTTGGCCCTATTAGTGTCCCATATTCGGAAATGTAAAGTGATGCACAGATGCACCTGTGAGCCTGCTCTGCTTCTCCTCTTCCCACAGGGACGTACACTCACTCATATTTCTGGTGGGCAACAAACAGGACCTGTGCCACATGCGGGAGGTGCAACGTGAGGAGGGTCAGCGTCTGGCCGCCGAGTCTCACTGCCAGTTCTACGAGCTGTCGGTGGCTGAGCACTACCAGGAGGTGGCGCTCATATTCTCCAAGATGGTGCAGAAGGCCAGCCAGGGCAGCAAAGCCAAGGAACGCAGGAGGCGCCCGAGCGGCTCCAAGTCCATGGTCAAGCTCATCAACAACGTCTTCGGCAAGAGGAGGAAATCAGTGTGACGTGTCGTGTACGAGGACGGCCGTCAGTCAAGACCGGGACGAATGGCTTCATACCATCATTATCTTTAGTGTTGCTATTTATTAACATTGAACTGACACAGTGTAGAATCCATGGTTTGGCTCGTAACTCGGCTTTAAATGTTTCTCTCGCTTGATCACCGATCATGATTGGACCAATATTGTCTCATGACACAAGACAAAACATACACTTTCCTTAAGCTTTAAATGATTAACATGTGTTTTAGTGTTGGCGTATTGCAGCTCCTTCGTCCTGCATCGTGGTATGAGATGGTGCTCGCTTGTAACGTGGTTTGTCGTCAGTGTCAGAAGCTTAAAACTTATCTCACGCGACTAGAGTAGGGATGTGGCGCTGGACACAGACGTTCCGAAAAGCTGTGTCGGGATTCCGAAGCGATTCAGGTGTACAGACGCGATCCTTTTCAAGACACAAGGCTCTTATTTTGAAACATGTGACAGGAAAGACTTGCGTTAAGCTTGCCAGGCACGACTCAAGGTGTGACAACGTGGTGATCACGTACATCATCACAAGCATGATTGGCTGAAAAGACGTCAGGTGAGAAGAGACGTGTAAACACAGACGTGATCCATATTTTACTACAGATTACAACTGATAACACTAAGTGCCACAAAATGATTAATTATGGTACACCACACGTTATTGATCACACATCGTACAGAAGGCAAAATTATCGCACAAATATGTTAATTATCGTAAATCTGGCAACACTGCTTCATGTATTTAGTATTTATGACTCCCGAGGGATGAGACTATTAAACGTGGAGTTTATCATCTATTGTGTGGGAGTAAATGTTTTTTTTCTGTCAAATAAGTTGTATTACATTGTTCAATATCCATATTAAACATGGATGACTCCTTCCTTAGTAAGCTGATGTCAGCCCTTCAGCTCGTTCTCCCACATCAGTCTACACGGGCAGTGTTATAGATAATAATGTGCTGCAGCATACAAATAACCAACTGTTCAGGTTTATTACACAGAACGCTTGTTGACATATGTTGCTGTCACTGGGCTAAGCCGAATTAAAACTAATGTTGTTATGGCTGTAACACCGCTGACGTTTTTACAGCTCAGCTGAATTCCAACACATATATCTACTAACAGGAGCATAAATAGAAACATATATATTGTGTTTGAAAGAATAAACCAACTGTTCTATATCGTAATAACCAGGTAACAGGTGTATTTACAAGTTGCTATCTTTTTGATGCCAAGACCTGAGACTCGACATCCTGTGTAATTCTTCATCATCACCCTGCCAATGTTCATGTCTTCTTAATGATGAGTGATGATGAGTAGTGAATGTACATTTGCTCTGTTCATCGGCTGCAACTTGCTGTCAAATAATATGTCTGTAATGTCAGAAGCTTAAAATAAAAATGTCTGTCTTATTCTGTAAATCATTTTTTTAAATGGACATGGTGAGACCATTGGACATTTAACAGTGGACTTGAATAGAGCAGCGTACAGTGAATAGGACTGTTTATATTGATATTGGCTTTTCTTCTTGTAGATAATAGATAAAATAATTAAAGTGAGTATAGGTTTTTATTGATCTATTATCGTACAAACCTCAGGATCTTACAAGAGACATTATGTTCAAAATCAAAGCAGAAGCTGACATATTCAGATCTTTTACTCTAGTAAAAGTACATATCCAACAGCTCTTTCCCATAATGCAACCCAGTGCATCTTTTCTAGTTCCTTACATTTTTAAAGAAGAAGTCAAATGGAATTGGAATCACTCAGCACTTGTAAATGAATCCAGTTCAGCTGCAGAACCAGTTCAGTTTAGGAATGATCCAAACACATCAGTGCATTCAGCGTAACACATTTCTGCCCGACTTGGTGAGGAAGTAAAGTGTTTCCATGGGGGGAATGTTTGGTTTCAGCAGGTCAGAGTTGTGTTCAGCCTCAGTGGGAGCTTATCTATCATGAGCTGAAATCACTCTCAAACTCCGGTTTCGCATTCCAGCCCTGAAATGTCACCAGTTTGTTTTGCGTCTTGAAATCTAGTTGTCAAACAAACCGGTAGCAGCAGGGAGGGAGTCCTGACATCACAGCGACATTCACACTCAGAAAGTGAAATGACCTGTGTGCTGATCAAATACTACCACGTATCCCACATCTGTCATAACTAATATCTACTATTACACTATACTATGTGTTAAACTATGTTAACTAGAAAGATTTAGACCTGTTAGACCTATTAATGGTCATTCATTTGCATGTCACCAAGTCTGCTGTTTACTTTTAATATCTAATATTTTATTACTCAGGAACTACTTAATAACAATTCAGTGATATCATTCTTTGGGTACTATTCAAACTAAATAAATGTAATGATATTATTTTATCATTATTTTATCATTATTAATATTATTGTTCAATTTCAGCCCATTTTATCTGTAGCAGAAACAGCCAGAAGAGAAGGGGTGGGTGGGTGGGGGGGGGGTCTGTACATATGATCATATCTAAATCCCTGTGGGATCAGGGGGTTGGGGGGGGTGGAGGGGCTCTGCCTGCTTCTGGAATCTTTTTGATGTCGTTGAGCAGAATGATGTCTTACACACATGGCTCTGGTTATGGAGCTTTCTGAGGGTCCGGCACCTGACGGCCTCCTGCCTGGTAGACCCCCCCCCCAACCCCCCACCCCTGGTGTTATGACAGTGGATTTGAAATCAGCTTGGCGTGCGGTGGCTCCTAAGCTGTTCCAACTGTTGAAAATCCCCCCCGACTTTCTCTCTCACATTACTCTGCAGATCCTCTTGACAGACGGTTCACTGGGAACCACCTGTAGCCCAACACACATGGAAGTGCTGCTCTGCTGTGTCCCTGTATGTGAAACCTCCGCTGTGTTTAAAGGAGCATGAAGACATGAGGGTGTCTGCGAATCCTTGAAATGTAATATCACAATGTGTGGCAGTAGTAATAAGATAATATAGCTCACTGCTCATCCCTCGAGCAGAGTTCAAACTCAACTGTAATTAGAAAAAGCTGTATCAAAGATATTTAATTCTGCTCTCAGTTAAGATTCTATGAAAATGCCAGAACACATGAGGTATGTTTGGAATAAATAAGCTGCTTTTAGCCATCATCCCGAATGTTAAGTCTTAGTAGTGGTCTAAAATATCTGCTGTTGCAAAAACTTGATTAAAAGCCCCTGATTTAAAACTGTCTCATGTACACAGAGAAAAAAAATAAAGAAATAGAATGTAATTTGCTGTTTTTATTTTTCCTTGTGCCACCCTCGAGACTAACTGTGTTTTATGCTTTCAGAAAAGTAAAACTATACACAGTGATATTATTCCAAATTTAGATTTGACTCTGGGAAATGACATCTTTTATTATTAGTATTAAAACTTAGTATTAACTTGACTTGTATACAATGAGCAGATGAATCTCCACTTTTTAAGATCAGGGTGATAATGGCAGGACTGTGGTGCACCAGTGTCACTTGTCCCTGCTGTCCAGTAGGGACACTGTTGAGCATCATTAAGCTGCACTACAGTAGTTTATAAGATTTGTCTTTGTCGCCACCCTGTGTTCATAAAGCTGTAGTGCAGGTTTGGAAAGAAGCAGTGATGGAGGTCTGAGGACTGAAGTGACCACCGACCATCATCTGTCTTCGAAAATAGAAACCTAATCACTTCCTGTTCTCTGCAGTCCACATATAGAAGAGATGAATATTTAAAATATCCCCATTAGCGTGACACTGGCCTGAGCCGCCGCTCAGTTAAAGATAGTTTCAGATCAAACATCTTCAGATTTGTGAACTCGAAACACATTTCTACTGTCGTGTGGTTTAGTTCTTTTTTTTTTGGCACTTTGGACTGACGAATGCCACATGGTTCAGCCGTTTACTGTGAGGATGAATGACATTTAAAATTAAACTTGCAACTTGATCTAACGGGATTTCTTATTCTTATTCAACGATCTTTTATCGGCCTGAGTGAACAGGAGGGAAGGTTAGTGTTAATTTGAGCTGCTCACTGTTATTGTAGGAACATGAATCCCTTCAACACTTTGGTCCATGGTCGATATGTGTGAGAGAACATGACGAGAAGAGTGTGGGATTCTTTGGATCTCTCTAATTTCACATTTTAACTGACAGGAACCCTTGAGTTTAAAAAGACTGTTACTCTCTGTATGCATCCAAATCAAAGAGCTTAAAAAAACACAAACACACAGTGACTGCTCGAAGAATTTTATTGCAAAGTTGCCATTAATCCCATGTATGATTTGTAAGCAGCTTTACACAGAATCTTAAAAAATAGTAGAATAAGATAATAAAAATAAACTGTCAAATACCCACACAACTTTTAAATACAAAAACAGAGTTAGTCAAATCTACCTTAGTGAAAAGAAGAATATATTAGTTGATTGGCTGATAAGATATGATAAAAAAAGGACATTATGGTTATGATGTAAAAATAAAAAAGGTATTAAGATAATCAGCAGAGTGAACATCTGTCTGAACAACCAGACCAGACACCTGGTTGTTCACATTTCATTGAAATCCCCAGAAATGGATTTAGGATGTCATTTGTAAAATGCAATGCAGATGATTAAATGCACTCATTTAACATCAAGTATGAAAAGACAGACGTCACTGTATCATTATGTCGTCCATGTTAAAGCTACGAATACCTGCTGTATATTTGGCAGCAAATCAATCAATCAATCAAATCATGCATTCTATAAAAATGTCTGAGCAGGACTGGTCCTGTGGCTGCGATCAATAACGTGATAATTCATATATTCGTGTGAGATAAAATGATGGCATGCATAAGATGAATAAAAATAAATACTTTGTCATAATAAGGGAACACCTCGTCATTTTGACCGTTACTAAATAAATGAAACATTATGAAACAAATAATCAGATAATAAAATAAAGTAAAATGCATCAATGAACCAATAAATTGCTAAATAATTAAACTGCGTAATGAAACCGAATATCATTGTTACATTGGAATTTAGTTTCATTATAGACATCGTTATTTAAAAACAGGATTTTTCTCTTATGGGTTGAAGGTGTGTGTGTGTGTGTGACTTCATGTCTTCATGGTTGTGAGGACACATCATTGGGCAAACACTTTGTTGTGATGAGGACGTTTTGGACGACCCCCCTAAAATTCAAAGGACTTTTAAAGATTTCATGTCAGAGTCAGAATTAGGTTTGATTTAAGATGTGGATCAGTTTTAATGTTTAGCATTTTGCAGTGATGGTTACGTGACAGTGAGGGAATGGATTCTGTCAATGAGTGTCCTCACAACTATAGAAAGATAAATGAGTGTGTGTGTGTTTGTCTTTAGAAAAAGGGGCATTGGAAAAGAAACTATTTTTCTATGATGAATTTCAATATTAAAATGTCTGTGTGTATTTTATTTATTTAAATGTTTGGTTCATAGATTTAATATTTCACTCTCTATTTACATGATTAATCGTTTCATAATGTTTGATATTATGTCATTTCTCAGTGTGTATGTCCATTTTTGTATTTCCAAACATAATCACTACTTACATGTAACAATTGCCTTTGGATTACAGAGAATTCCACATGGCTGCTTCATTGCTGGTAAAGCAGCACAGTGGCATCTTCATGTTTGGAGTCAGTGAAAAGTGAACGCAGGTGAAGATCAGAACCACTCTTACAAAGAAGTGAGGGTCCACTTATAAGAAAGTGACTTTCCCCTGCAGATATCCAGATCTCTGCCATTTGTATTTTCCTTTTTCTTGTGTCTGTCCGTCAGTAAATAGAATATAAAATGCTGACTGAAATAAAAATATGAGTGGAAGTGTAACATTTAGGCACAGACTGTGAATAAGGACAGAAGTGTTGTATCACAGTTTCTAATAAAACATTGTGAGTAGATGAATCTTTGCTGGGGACCAGCAGCAGAAACATTAAATCAAACTTTCATCCGATATTTGGTTTTAAAGCAGCACATCGACGATACTTTATATTGCACAGGATGAGCGGAGGCTGAAGCTGCTGTTAGTGACAAACCAGACTTCTCCCGACCTCGTGTTAGAACAGAAATAATCAAAGAGGCTGCGAGCAGCTCAGACAAACAGTAGCATGAGCCTCGTGTTGCAGAACGGTACATAGACATCAGGCTGAAACAAAACTCTCAGACTGAGCTGTCCAGGAGGCTCCGTCATCTCAAGCTGAGAGGCTGAAGAACAGTCGGTCCATTAGAGGATCACGCAGCCAGAAGTGGACGCCTCCGCACCGCTGGGCACAAGAACACAGATTTCAAACCGTAGAGTCAGAGAGTCACCACATCATCGGCAGCCTTCACTTTGAAATATGCCCGAGGTCTGAATATCTGCTGCATTAAGGTTAAGTCTCTGTACAGATCTCCTTCAAACTGATACGATTTAACTACAACCAAGTTAAAAATACTTTTATCTCATCTCCCGCACTGAAAACTCTGGAATCTACGAATGTGCCAATATTAAATGTTGAACTGTAGAGTGCACAGTGTTTGCTGTTCAGGTAAATGCTGTCTGATATGTGCCTATAACTTTTTAAAGAACGTACTGGAGGTCAGAGAAAGAAATAGAAAGAGACGTTGAGAATTACTTAGAAATGGTAAAAAAAAAAAAAACAAAGATTTATCTCAAAAGAAAAAAAGACACTTTGTACAAAATAATTATTAATAAGAAATAATAATGATTCATTATTTGTAGCCCCTTAGACAAGTGAAGTGATAAAGTACTTTTAAAAAACATTTAAAATAAAATTATCATTTTGCACCAAGTCAAACAGCACCATGAAAGGTTTAGCTCTAACACTGAAGTGAAGGAACAAAAATCAAAAAATGTTTTCAAGTGGAAATGAAGATTATACAGTTGTCAGACCAACAACTAACATCATCCCACCTCTGCTCTGGAGCATCGGACTGCTTCATCCTCTTGGGGGCGCTGCCCTCCCACTGAACTGGAGGCATGTGAGCGCGTTGGGCGTCCTCGCTCGTCTCCTGAAGAGAGGATGTGACGGCGGATTACACGGGATGAGTATTCAAGCTTTCGAAAAAAATTTAGTTTTAAAAATGATCTCCGCAGTGTAAAAATATTAATGAACCACTGCGGTTAAAGTTTGAAAGGAAATATCCTCAGGTCGTTTGCTCTCACAGCATTCATGTCTGCATGCACAGTAGGTAAAGGCTCATTGAAACATATATTTCTAGTTTTATAATTTGTTATCTGTGAAATATATGTAAAGAATAATTACAGAATTGTTTCATATTTTTCCCAATTTCCTCTTTCTCATTTTGTTTTCGTTTTTTCTCATCCTGCTTCCAATGAAAATTATTGATGCCGTGACTAAAACGTCTCCCAGTTAGACGCACATCGACCTACACTGCATAATCCACTGGTTAAATCAGAAGGCGTTGGGGGAGGTGGTGGTGAGTCCTTGAGAACCAAAATTGCAAATGAAAATCCGGAATTTCCTCCATAGTTTTGTGTTTTTAACCAGACACATGTAAAAATACAGGCTCTTGGAATCTGTCCTCTCGTTTTCAGTCCAACGTCGATAAAATCCACATTTGTGATTCATCATCTCTTTACTTCAAACGTCACGTTTGACTCAATCACTTCCTGTTCTGCAAATTTAAACATATGGATAAGTGCAGCTTTATCTGTTATAGGAACAGTTCAGTCAAGATTTCATCCGGGTTATAAGATTACTACTATCATTAATAACTTTCTCTGCTATCGACGACATCAGTGCATCTATGAATATCACTCTTATTGGTTATTATCTCCATTATAACCACGCTGACAGAGCAAAAATATGACACACCCGTCTCTCTTCTCTTCCCCATTTTACTCTACTAACCCCAACCGGTCGAGGCAGACTGCTGCCCGGTCACAGTCTGGTCTGGTTCTTGATGTTTCTTTCACAGTTTCTTCCTCGATTTGCTCCAATTCGCAATTGTTCGGCTCCTCTCTAATTTTGTAAGGTGTTGACTTTAGATGATGTGATTTGGCACAATGCAAATAAAAGGCTCTGTCGGTTCTCTGTCCCAGCAGGCACCAAATTTGATATCTTATTGAATCTTAAATAGAATTTATGCAATCTTGTTTTTCCCTTAAGTTCGATTTTATGAATTTGTTCGGTGTAGTATCATCTAATAGGACGACTAGATTCAACCTGTGTCTGCTGTGTTTGGGTTTATTACCGTCTGCACCTGGATGAGGACATCTTTACTAGTTTGAAGGGATTGTACCACTGTGTGTGTAACTCACCATGTTTCTCTTCCTGCCAGGGTTGCTGCTGCTGCTGCTGCTGGGAGTGTTGTGGCTGTCAGCGGCGGAGTGAAGGGCTCTCTGGCGCGGCTCAGCTCTTTGATGCACCACTGTCTCTTTAGACTGCAGCTTCCTGTAAAGACAGCACACTCAGTCAGCGGCTAATCTAGATCACACAGCAAAATCACTGCGTAGAGCTTATAAAGTTTCTGTTGAAAAGTCAATCACCTGTATGAGTTTACAATGTAAAAAAAGTGTCCCCTGGTGGACAGACGGTGTAGTGGACTCAATGCTTAAACTAAAAACGAATTTCTCTACTCATTGTTCTGGACACATAAAAGATAAATAAGGTAAAATAGGACATAACACAGTGAAATGTGAAATATGCAGTGGCAGAAAACTTTCCTCCGAGTGGTCAATACATGATGAGCTTCACACCCAGCACCGCTCGGCTATTTTCACCATATAAGGTCCATTAATCTCAAAAATAGACTTAATTGTCAAATTGTCTACGTGTAGTTTTCACTGATGTTCCTGTACATCACCTTGAATCGACCTCTGTATTTAGATTTAACATATACAAAAAAAAAAAAGACTTATTTAAAGAGTGTGTATTGTTATTAATACATCAATGTGTGATTTGAACCCTGTTCTTCATATTTTCACCAGCTCAACTCTAAATCACACATACTCTAAACCTACACAGTTGTTCTTCCTGGTAATAAGTCATAAATGAACAGATAAAACAAGTTACACTTATAACGTCTAATTTCTATAAACCACTCAGTTCAGCAAAGAGTTAATAAAGGATAATAAGGAAATCGTGACCTGCTACATGATTATGAATTTATCTTCTGAGGTCGGCCTGAAGACCCTCTCCACCGTGTGAAGATGAGAAGTAAGTGAGAGTTAAACTGTCTTTAGCCTTCATTACATCCCTGGTGGTCAGGCCTCATCCTGCCTCACCATTCACTTAGTGTCGCCAAGCATTGATCTACACACTAATTAAGTCCCCTGGCTAGAAGATGTGTGTGTCTGTGTGGAGGTACTAGGTATTAATACGATTCCTGTAGAACAAAAGGAAACACAGAAAAGAAATACAATAAGGAGTTGAGGGGGAATAATACGAATGTGTATGTGTAAAGTAGATATTTTGACTTGAAAAATAATGAAAGATGCCCACCGGTCTAATATGACTCAACCACAAAAATAATAAATGTTTGATAATCACTGAGAGCAACATCCAATAGATTCAGAGATGTCAGTCCAGAGAGTGTGTAGTCTTAGTTAAATCAATAATTCAGCTGTGTGTAGACACACACTCACACCCCTCAGCCCTGCACTTCTCCCCAGTGGTGTGAGTGCTGCTGACCCCTGGTCCTCTCAGCCTGTCCCCTCCTCGGTCCTCCATCACGGCTAATTACACTCCCTGGAGTTTAGAGCCATCAGCCTGCAGCCTCGGCCCCCATCTGCTGCAGCGTCTGAGCTCTCTGACAGCCTCCCCTCTCTCTCTCTCTCTGCTCTGACAGAGTGATAAACTAATAAGTCTGGCTGGGCACACAGAGGTCGGGGTGAGAGGGGGTTGGTGGGGGACCTGAGCGGAGATGGACCCTTCCACGTAGCCAGGCTGACTCGGACCGTGCTCGGGGGAGGTGGGGCCAGGCGGGGCCAGGCGGGCAGGGAGTGGAGTTACTGAGGTCTGGCTGATCAATGCTGAGAGACAGACAGGCCTGAGGTCCAGCACCAGTGTGTGTGTGGAAGTTTTGTTAAGAGTCATTGTGCACCTTGTTAGTCGAAACACTCACAGATATTCATATTTCTACCACCTCATTAGCTACATGCTTCTCATCAGGTCATGAAAAAATACCAAAAATAATACATCAATTAAGCTCACAGCAGCTAAACCCAATTAAATGAATTGTAAAGGAGACTGGGGATATTTTATATTTTTTCTTCTTGTCACATAAACCATGGATAAACCCAAACGAACACTGAATGTAACCGACTCACATGTATTTCATGCATACACACAGTAGATGGTTTCAACTCAACTCACACTAGAGGACCGACTGTGGATGAATCAGCCACTGGAAAAACTTTTCAGAAAGAAACTAGAACATCACCCAGTAGAAAACATTCCTCCACCAAACACTCCTCTTATGAAACCACACTTAGGCCCGGTTTTGTGATCCGATCAGTGGACAGCTACAAGTACAGGTGTGAACGTACTCAGATCGGACAGCGATCCCATCACTCCAGACCTCATTACACAACAGAACTGGAAAGCAAAAACGTATTCCTGGATCTGTTCCACAATTTAATGGGTTCTTTCCTGACCCATACCACATCCTCCCAGAAAGTTCCGTTACACTACGTCTAATAGTTTTTGCGTATTCTTGCTTGCTTACAGACTGAGAGACAGACAAAAACACAAGGAAACATAACCTCCTTGTTTCAGGTAACACAAAATATGAAGTTAGAAATAATGCACATTGTAATATGTGTTGTTTGTGCCAATTACTCACAAATAATGTGATAAGAGCACAATTGTTTCGAGGGCATGTTGGTTTTATTTAATTTAGGACATTTTTGGAAACAAGTGTGCTTTTGAGAGAAAAGACACCAAACACCAAACGTCTGTCGACTTAAATGTATTTGATGCAAAAGACAATAATCTACAATAGATCCATCTGATGGAATGATGCAGACATAACATTGATGGCTGAAACTGGCATTAAAAAGAGCCCCAGGCTAAATTATTAAAGACGGTCCAACTGACAAGCTCTGACGTTACCTGTTCCGCTCTCTGCACTGCAGGAATTAAGAAAATAGATTCCCATGTTTATTATTGCTCAATAAAAGTTATACGTCTTATCTCTCCAAACTCTATTTTTAATGAAGACATTTGTCTAGGATGTGTTTTCAGTGTTACCACAACAAAATAGAGATCGCACTCTCTCGCTGAGCCAGATTTCAGATCCAGACCTGTTTTCAGCTGCCCCCGCTAATAGTTCATCAGTTGGTTCCTCAGATATGTTATTTTTTATTATTGTGGCAGCCCCGAGAACATCTTTCATGTTTTCATGAGAGGTGTATACAATTCGGTTTGATCATTATGAAACTGTGGCGGGACAAATGAGACTATGGCGAGCAGTCTAAGTAATTAATGCAAAACACTGTAATGTATGCGAGCAGCCTGGAGCCCACACACCAGGAGTTAACTCATTTATACAAACATGGGTTGATGATTAAAAGCAACTGCTGATCGTTATGTTAGTGTTCACGGATTCAATCTGAAACGGTCCGAGCATCTTCTGAAGTGTCGTTCGGAAATGTTCACTTGGAGTTCCGCATCATTCCGAGTGGATTCGGTTCGGTGAAGAGTCCTGTATTCGTTTTTCACTTAGGATAAATAATGAGCCATTTTCAGACATGACCTCTGGGTAAAATCCGGAGAATTGGCCAGGGAGTGAACCCCCGGTTTGCCTTTCACACACGCACAACGCAGCGGGAGGTTCTTAGCACAGATGCGTTCACAGCAACAACAAATTATTGACATTATTCAGGGGAGAGGCGGAGCCGCCGGCTGCAGCAGACAGAAACAGGAAGTGACCTATTAACTCTGCTGAGTAAATCATGTGATTTTGTTTACAACACCCCGGCTGTTATCACCACAAACTGTCTTGACATCTTCGTCGGTGTCCTATACGAGTGTGACATTGTTTTTTCACCAGGAGATATTTGTTTTCTTATTGTTTTTTACTTTTCGATAGAGTCCAGTGCATGTCTGAAAGCAGCTATAAAGAATGGATCTATTAACTTATAGATCCGTGTGTGTGTGTGTGTGTGTGTGTGTGTGTGTGTGTGTGTGTGTGTGTGTAGAGCAGCTACCTGATTGCTGAGTTCAGACTTTGGTACCAGTCATTCAGATCCTCCTGGTTGCTGGACATCAGCAGGAGTTTGGCTTTGGGGAAGGTTAGCTGGAGGAAGACGAGGCAGAGGAGATGAATTAGGACGATTGCTGGCAGTGTGAGTGTGTACTGTGAGGTATTGTGTTGTGATGCACAGTTGCAAGAACACCACAGCAAAATAAACACGATTCCATTAAGATTGCAGTGAGAGGAAATGTAACTAAGGACAGTTTCATAATTTGAAGTATTTAAAGAGGCACAGGAACGATAAACTTTGTCTTCCTATCAGGTTTGTGTTGTTTCAGAAGCCTGAAACTGCAGTAACACTATAAAAACAGTAGAGGGTAGGCCAAATTAAGCAAAATCCTTCTCACTCTGTCAGCTCGTCATAGGAGCAAAACCTACGGCCGCTCCTCACAGGCATCCATCGGTCCTACAACTGTGCAATGTAAAGGTGAAGAAGACGGAGAAGTGCACGGCGAGTAAAGAATCTGATGCAGTCAGGTCACATTTAGTGGGAAACTATAATCGGCTGGACAGAAACGTGTTCTCGGATGTCTTGCTGGCTTGTCAGCGTCCTCTGCCTTTGAGTCAACAGTAATTATCAACTCTCTCGCTCACGTTGTTAAAACCAGACTGTGATTGTACTTGTCAAACAAACCAATGGGAGACGTCTGGGCCCAAACGAAAGGGGCTTTTAGAGCAACGTAATTACACTGGGAAAGCTATTACAGGGGATCAAAATTAGACCTTCACCACATTTAAATGGCCTCTCCCATTTACCTGTGGCTCCGGCCTCCATGAAGGAGACCGGAGACGGCGAAGAGCGGGTGACAGGAGGTATTGATCATTTCCATGTGATTTTGGACAGAACTTTAACGCTCGAACAGAGGAGCATATAGCTCATCAAACATAATGATGTTTTTACACAGAGGGAGGGGAGTGTCTCTCATTATGCATTAAATAGATTAAGATTTCAAATGTACCATCATCAAAAGTATTATCTAATTACAGAGTTCAGTGAATGGGGCCCGATTTGAGTGGCGCATGATATTAGGCACTCGCTACTTGGGGGACGGCGGCTGATTTATGCACAAATGCATTCCACTTCTATTGGAATGCAGTAATTAGGGATTTGTCAGGAAATCTGACCCTCTTAGGTAGAAATTACTTTGTATAATAAGAACGGCAGAGCATGGAGCCTCATCGCTGCACATAATTTAGCTTGATTATTTATACATCAAAGAGAATCTGTCAGGGATGTGGGAAAATATTCAAGGAGCGAGGGAATATTAGCAGGAGGAGGACTGCAGACAGAGAGAGAGAGAGAGAGAGAGAAGAAGGAAGGTCGAGGCAGACAAAAGGGAAGGGAAGACAAAAAGAGGGAAAAATGGGCAGAGGCACATGTAAAAGCGAGCTCTCTGCTAACATGCAACCAGAGAGGGAGCAAAAATAACAGGAATTTTAATAAAAGCATTTTTTTCCCCTAAACTTTGCATATAGATTGCCATGGCATTTACTGCTGTCAAATTTAATTTGGCTTTAATTCTTCATGGCCCTGGATGACGAGGGCCCTGGAGTGCTGACAGCCCTTTTCTTTGAGCTTAGGTAGGGGCCCAGGATCAATAATGTGTCCTTATGAGAAATTACAAGTAATGCTATTGAGTATGCATCTGGGCCTCGGCGGGATAAGAGGCTAATGAAATGCCATTTCTGCCATTAGATAATGTGCAGCGCGGCCGGCGGAGAGCGGCGACAGGCTTGAGGAAGATGTATTTACTGGAGGGGCCGGAAGAGATGGATCTGCAGCCTAATCTGATCCAGCAGCTGAGAGATTCTGTTGCAGCTGGCAGCCATCACTGCACACGCACACACACACACACACACAATCACCCCAAATAATACAGCTCTGACTAATCTCCCCATCAGCAGCCTTTTCATTCGTCACTTGAAGGATGCTTTTAATTCCCACTGCTTTTAAAGATGAAGTCACACAGGCCGAGCTGAAGAGACCATCACACATGCTGGACACGCTGGAGTCTTATACACTGAACTACATTTACGTGCATCTACCCTCTCATCTGTGTTTTGTGCAGCACATCCTCCGAAAATATATAAACTACACATTTGTGAAAACCCTGGACTCCACCGAATCACAATATCTCAGTTGATTATCACGACAAGTTTTAAACTTCTTACTGTGGCCTGAACAATTATTAACTGTCCAGATCTTTTTATTATCAATAATTAAAATATCTGCTTATTATAAGTGCTTAATTTTCTGTCTAGTTTTATGAAGTCGCTTAGTGTGTGAGCCAGCTGTGTGAGCAGACAGAAGAGGTATCAAACCTCTCTGTAGCCGCTGTGCATCACAGGGAGGCACATTAGAAACACAACATAAAGAGCTCTTTGAGCGAGAGCGCATCAGCTGAAATGAATATTGATACCGCGCAGCATTGGCACTAAACACTTGCTGCATAAACGCTTTGGTTACTTGCTCAATGACGCACAACTCGTTCCCTTTGAATGTTTCACGACAGCAACTACATCATTTAGACACAATTTGTCAGCCAGCAGCTGCACCGAGACCTGGAAGACGGATCAGACTGAGAGGAAAGACGCAAAAAAAAAAAAAAAAAAAAAAAAAAAAAACAAGTTAAACTTTTGGGCGCCATCAACAAGGGCTTGAAGGGATTAGGGAGAAGAAGCGAGGTAACCGCAGGTCTCCTCTGACAAGCGGAACTAAATGACATTTCATTCAGGGAGACTGGAAAACATTCAGGAAACCTCCGTTTGGCAGATTATACAACAGAAGCCATCAAGGCCATAAGTAAGACAAATCAAAGCAGCATTCATCAAAAGAGGAAATTAAATAATGCCTCTGCTAAGGACTCACTCATGTGTATACTCAAACCAACGAACAGATGTCTCCCCACCTGCTGCCCAACAAACACTTTTCTCTTTTTCCTTTTCAACTTTCCTACAGTTAGTTACGCAGGACATCACAGAGCCTGTGCCAGCTACTGCAGAGGGCCCTCGTCTACAGCCCTGTTGTACACTGAGATCTTTAGTTTGTTAAAGACCTTCAATAAAACTGTCACACAGTGATAGCCAATGACTTCAAAATCTGACACAACAGTATTTTTTTTCCTTGTGTGCTAAGGAGGGTATTGTTTTCAAACCTTTGTGTGTGTGTGTGTGGACAAAATAACTCGACAACGCACAAACTTGTTGGGAATATTACTTGTATCTCCATCTCAACTTTCGGAGTCGATTGATCAAAGGACAAGGTCAAAAAGATATCTCTGCAAAATAACAGAGACAATCGAGAGCTTGTGTCGATCGGAAAATTAATAACCATGATATAATAAATGATAAAATGAAGAAAATTACGTAATGCATAGTTTAAAAAATGCATGTTTCCAGATATCTCTGCGTTCTGCAAGACTATAGCAACAACCTAAAGATTTTTTTATATTAAAAATCATAACTTGTGTGTATTTGAAAGGAATTATTTCATCATGGCATCACTAAGAAGTCAGAGAATTATGTTATATAGCTTAGAAATGCATGAACTTTTGAGACCAATAACATTAAACACATTCAACAGTGTATTTATTTTATGTGGTGTTATTGAGAGCACTATCAATTATAGCACTATTACAATATGAAAAGTTAAAATTGTCTGATTGGGGTATATTTGCAGGTTCTGTATTTCTGTATTTTCTGCTCAATCTGAATTCTTTTGAATCTCGTCTCAAATCTGTTTGTTCGGTGGGAAAGGAAAATGTGCAGCACGGTAACAAAACAGATTTCACTAGTTTTGTTTGTTGAAAATTCATTATTCTAGCTTTTGTTTGACAAACATTGTGATTCAGTAACCAATGAACAGACAAGAAGGACTCTGGCACTAATGTGAACCGAGAGCATAACGTTGTTGCGTGTTCAAGTGCAAGAAGAGTCATACTTCCTCACATTGTTCTGTCCTCCACCATCGGAGCCCACCTCATCAAACACCACAGACAACTGTGCTGTGAACATGTAACATTTCCAAAGCACAACATTTCAGCCAATTGATAAATGGTTGTTTACTAAATTTAACAAGACCATAACAATGTGCGGGCACTTAATCTGGAACCTCAAGGCGACATAAAGAATTAAACCACATTGTGGTAAATAGCTTCATCAATTTTAAATAAGGAAAGTGCTTTGAGCGTGTGAAAAATGCCAATGAAATGTCTCTTACAGATTATGTATGGAAAGGTGAAATATTTCCAGTGTAATCATTCATTTCCTGCTGTTTTCCTTATGTATCATTCTTCCTGCTACTATGATATTTCAGCTTCTGTTCATAAATGAGTCAACACTCCATTATTTTCCCCTTCCTGGTTTTTTAATGTTGTTTCACGCCTGCTTTCTGCCAGATGAACAATCTAATAAAATATTCCAAGATATCCCAGAGACACCCTGATCGATCTAAAGTCACATGAACCACACAGGTAACTCTGCTAAGGCTCTATTTGGCTGATACTCACGCTGAGCAGGCCTCCTTTGCTCTTGGTGTGTCCGAACACCTTCTCCACAGTGCAGTCCTGCAGGGGGAACATGTGCTGGCCGGTGAACTTGTCTCCATTGGTGGGATGCAGGGGACTGCAGCGCTTGGCCTGCAGCAGCATGTCGGAGAACAGGAAGAACATCTTGGGCTTAGCCTCTTTTCCTTTAGGAGGAACCATTTTCAGCCAGCCCTCACGGATGTACCACCTCCCTGTGAGAGGAGGGGAGAGCAGACAGAAGCATGAACGGTCATTATGGTTAGCAGCTCAGTTCTTGTTTGAGTTTCAGGGAAGCTGCTGGTTTTTCCAGTGAACACTAAACTAACAAAATTATAACTTTACAAATTACAAAAAAGATATCAGCCCTGTTGCTGATCTACCAAGCCATGTGGGTCTGTCTAAATGCAGTCAGCCAGCAATGGCCAAACTCCTCACCCAAAATATAATAATTGCATAAATACTAAACCACTGCTGCAAAGCTGCAATGTGTATATACAGTCTGTACCTCTCGCACAAACTATAGTAGATCTATAGTTCTATGCACATCACTGTTTAACCCACAGAATTACAAAGTCCCCATATGGTGCCCCTCTGAGGAGTGTGCTACAAATGACATTAAAACATTAAATCAAAATGCCATGGTCAAACAATCTGATTGGTTGATGCTTAGGTCCAGATCTAAGATAAGATAAAATAGCAAATAAATAGACAACACTTATAATTGCAGGGAAATGTAAAAAATATATAGTTTAGAGTTGGTCTCTAGTGGGTTTAATGGTTAATTGTCTGTATTTATATTGCGTATTCACCAATTCACACACACAATCATACAGCGGTGCTTTCTCTGATACACACACAATCACACACTGTTGGCACAGCCGCCAATTTGGGTTTCAGTATCTTGCCCAAGGACACATTGGAATGGAGACTGGGATCGAACCACCGACCTTCAGGTTAGTGGACGATCCTGAGCAGGGGAGTTAAGCTCCAGATTCCATTAGCTCTATTTATCTCTACAGACTCTCTCTGTGTTAGCAAATAAAGATGTGCAAGGCCTTCTGGTTAGATTAGCAGGCATCTCATTTTAGTTGTTTTCCAAAACACACAGCCGGCAGCTAATTGTATCACCTGTAGCTAATGGTCATTGATCCAGGTTTCTCTGAGTCTGTGCATCAGTGTTTGGAGAAATGACTTGAGGACATGACTCTGGGAACTTCGGACGTCTAGACCAGTTAACACAATTCAGTAATCGACATTTGATGATTTATGCTGCTTAGCTTATTTTTAGGTTTTCATTATAAGTTGCTCAAATAAAGCCAGCAGAAGGGGATAGAAATCATTAAATTTAATTTATTTTTATACCTGACAACAAGGGTATGTTTTTGCTGCTGTCCTTTTGTTTGTTTGTTGGGTGATATTCACATAACCTGGATGCTGGATGGGACATGGGCCCAGAAAGAACCAATTCCATTATGGCTTGGATCAAGACAAAGGGATGGATCCAGGATTCTTTTCTGGAGATTGGGCATTTACATTTTAACCCATTTCCTAGGGAGAAATTCCTGGTCTTGATGAAATAATAATGATAATAAGGAAAAATAAGGCAAATTTAAGGGACTGATATTTATGCATGTGCACAATCTGGTGCAGCTTGATTGAATTTAAGAGGGCAGTTTGTTGTCAGATGTTGAAACCTAAACCAGATATAAATTCAAGACTGATTTTAAAAGGATTCAGATTCAATATGTGGATTTAACACTGAATTTCAGATTTGATGGTTGTGAATCCAAAACCAATGCAGGTTTATCTCATTTTACAGATTCAGTATAAAAGTGGTAATAACCTTTGTCTCCTCAGCATCAAAAAAATAAAATAATGAAACTAAGCTATGCTGACTTGGAAAGATAAATGAAGGCTATTCAAAGGGAACAAAAAAGACAAGAGAGAATCTAAGACAGACTCAGTGGGAGGCAGGCATATCAGGGTGTGGCTACAGAGGAGCGCTCTCATCTCTTTGACTGTGATTGGCAGCAGCGTGATGATAGCTAATAAGCAAAAGGCTGACATTTGGATAGATAAAATGAAAATTGAGCCCGAGTTCCAGGATGTTTTTGTAATTGCCCCAGCCAGTAGCCTGTGATTGCAGCTAGCCTGAGTGGCTGGAGCTGTGCCTCTGGGGCTTAGAGAGGACATTTTCAGCTACAGACAAGTCTACTGAGATTAAGTGGCACTGCCAGGCGGGGGTCAAATTGCTTTTAAAATGCCATGGGTCTGAAACGGAAAAAAAACAGTCGAGAGACATGCCACGACTCTCTAAGGTGCTCTGTGGAGATTGGAGCAGTGGTTGTAATCGTTCTATTAAATATGATATAAATAAAACCCTGCTTGAGCCTTATACGACTCTTTAAAGACGCATTTACTGTGTGTGTAGTCAATAACCACTCAAACATGCTCAGTTAAAGAAATTAAGAATGTTTTAAGTTGAAGACAACCGTGGGGGAACTGGATGCCGCACAAATGCACCACACCCTCAGATCTGTCAACTTAACCGACAGTCTTGGGACTTATATCAATATTGTATCTAACATACAATATAACTGCATAGACAGTTTGTGTCATTTAGCTTAAATTCACAATCAAGTAAATTCAAAAAGAGGTACGAGTAGGAAAAAGTACTACAATGGGAAACGTGTTGCCGTGGGTATCCATCCTTCAAGTATAAATACACAACTGTCTTGTAGCCATATACTCTCAGTATGAGTGAGGTATACCAGGAATTAATTATTGTCTTTCTTGATGTCTTCAGCCTGCAGCCTTAAAATGTTAGTACAAGATTTGAAGGTTGTATTTACAGAAATACTCAAATAAGTCCCCCTTAAGCTGTGGGATTTTCAAAAAGCAGATAAAAAGCTAAAACAGCAATTAGGCAAATCAATTAATAATTTAAGGAGTGATTTTATCTTTCGAATGCCCCCCCCCAAAAAAAGAATTTACTGGTTCCAGCTCATACATGTGAGTATTTGCTGGTTTTCTTTAGGGGAAACATTGTTTCTAAGAAAAAAAGCTAAATAATTTGAACTAATTGTTATTATTGGGCAGTTTAATGAGCCAAGGGGGTCCTGTGTTTCTGACATTGAGAATATAGTTTAAATAAAAAAGTGCAGGACAAGGTAAAACTTTCTCAGAAACAATTCATTAAACCTTTGTTGCCTGGGAAATGCCAACATTTCTCAAACCACACACCCAAAGCTTGAGACAAACATTTTCTGTTATAAATTTTGCTGCTTTCAAATAAATCTTCACCAAGTACTGACGCGGTGAGGAAAATGACATCTGAGTAAAATCAGCAGAATGCCCCTTTAGAAAAATTCAGATTCTTTTGAACAAAAGTTTATCTACAACATTGTACCTCCCAATTCACCTCTGAAAAAACTATGAATGTATTGTTTGTTGATTGTAGATATAAAAATGGCAGAATATGTCATCTTCGTGTTTGATTGATGAATGTTCTGACCCTAATGTCATATTTACACTGGCAACAGAAATTATGTTTTGCCCATAGATCAGACTCAGATTGTACGGTGGCACAGGCCTGAAAAAAAAAAAACATAACAGCAGCATTCTGCGATAACAGTGTGTTATCACTTTTAATTCACACTTGGGCAGTTATGTGTTGAGTGTCTGCTCAAGCATCAGAATGCTGCCAGTGTCCAGTGTGCCGAAACGGACATATTTCAGCAGACATCAAGTCTGCTAGTTACCCAGATGTGTTTGTATCGTCTTTTCTCCTTTCACTATTCAAACCATACGAACGATTCAACTATTCTAACGATTGCTTCTGACCAGAAGATGTGAGCTAGAGTTCGACATCTGTCCTTTATTTTGCCCTTTAGGAGGAGAGGTGCTGACATTCATACTCTGAATAAAATATCATACACAACACTTGTCATAATTCATTACTATCTGTTGAATACATATTAATTATTGTACTATGTTTGATAAAAAGTGGATTACTTTTCATAAATTTAGTTGTACACACTAACACGAACATATAAAGTGTTTATTAATGTACTATATGTAAATGTACAAACTTTATTAAAATTAATTGAAACTAAATTTAGTGGCACATTGGAAAGTCTGGCTGTGGAATGGGACAATAAATAGAAAGTCAGTCGGTGTCAGTCTATGCTTTGACTTTTTTCACACGACATGGATTCAGGAAGGGAATTTGCATGAAGGCAGCACAAACAAACACGGAGGCGAGTGAAGTTGACACAGGAGGACGACTCCAACCAGGCAAAACTAAACGAGGAGCTTAAAGTAGCATAAATATAAAAATTAAATAGACCAGGAAACCATACATTGCAAATTATATTACAAACTGGTCCCAGCCGAAGACTAGAAAACAACAAAACTTTAAGCATCTACAGAAAAAAAGTCTCAAAGTACAGTGGAGTGCTCGAAAGAAAGCCCAGACTCTGCCTGCAACACAACATATGAAAATAGAAACACAGGGATGGAAGGAGATTAACAGCTGCTGTGAGACATTAACATCTGTTAAGACATGGACCTGATTTACACAGAAAAATTCACAGAGCTTCACAGAACATGTTCTACGTCGTGATGTGCATCATTAACTGGTTAAGAAAGATCCCAGGATACGAGAGTTCGGTGATATCACATGGCCCTACTGGAAAATTCTCATTTTCCAAACCTTTGAGATAGTATCAGATATTCCCTATCAGACCCCCTACCTGCTCGAGTTGAAAGGGTCAGACGGGGTTGGATGTGCTCTAGGTGAGGAGGAGTCTCTTTGTGGACCAGGTTCCCTTTAGACCCCCCGCCTACATCTGACCGTCCACGGTACTTTGAGGCAGCGGCGGGTTCAAAGAGCAGGGGGTGCCAAGCACTCCTCTCCATGTCCAGGCCTTTCAGCTTCCCTTGTCAAAGAGCACCTCTGCACTACTACAAAGTCTTTTGGGCTGGACCAAGTGGGGGTGCTGTGGAAACTGGGGCAGGAAATAAAGGTTGATCTACAAAGGGTCCTGTTCCTCCTGGTGTGTCAAAGGCCAGAGGAATAACAGAAGCAGAGGGCTGCCAGTGTGGCAGAATGAGGACAAGTCAGCTTTGGCATTGTTGAGTTCGGAAAGTCAGGAGACTTCTTTCACCTCGTTTATATGGACTATAACCAAGGTGTGTGCTGTAGGTCAGACACAAGGAATAATGGAAACTTGAATATTTAAGATCCTTATGACATTCAGTTACAGATACGGTCACTATTACACAACCTGATTGCAACCAAGTCTTCTAGATCAACTAAATTGAGGAACTAATTGGAAACAGATTCCATTTTCTATTAGCATAGTCGGGAAAACTGTCAATATTTGGCAAATAGAGCAATGTTCATTCTCTAAGGTTACAGAATAACAATTGTGTCATCTATCATCACATCAGGACTCTGACCCCGTATTCTTCCTTGTAGAAGGAAATTGCATAAAGAAAAAACGGAGGGTTTTAAAATTATTATTATTAGGCCATGTAAGTCAGCAGAAGGGGAGAGAGGCTTTAGAGAGGGCGGCACTTACCACCCACAAGGTCGTACTCAAATGACACGACAATCATCTCAACCAAAGCATCATTTTCCAAAAGGCTGTTTGATAAATCGAACACTCGGTTTAAGTGGGACAGGATGAAGGACAAGTCAGAGAAATTAAGGAGTATTTCAAATGTAAGAGGTTTTATGTAGATGAGGAGGTAATTCCAAAAGTGCTACGAGAGGCCAGCTGAAAGTTTATGTTGGTTGCACGATGCAGCTCTCAGAAGTAATAAGTATAGCATAGGGAGTCTTTAGATTAATGGAAAGAACGTCAGTAAATAGGGTAAAAAATTGTCGTTAGAGCGCATGTAAGGAGGAAAAAAGAGGAGAGCAAGTCGTCCTCAACACAGGATGTGATCAGACTGTGTCACCAAAAATAGATGGCGGACAGTTAAATAAGCTGCTGTCAGAAATGCACGGAACTCCAGAGATCCTCCGCATTTTCTCTAGAGGACGTTTATGTGAGAACGCAAATGTCCAAGTGTATAGATAAATACATATAAGTAAATAAATGAATATCTTTTGGAAAGATAGTTATTCCAGAACGCCATCATGCTATTTATATGTTTAGACCTCTGTTTAAAGAGGTTTTAGATATATTGTATTTTTGTAGAGGTGCTGTTGGCAGGTCAGTCTGGGCTGGTTTGTTTGGTAGATTACCTCGATGGGGGAGCGGTAGTGGTTATACTGTGGCTGTGGCAGTGGGCTAGTTAGCATGGCCTTCTGTTAGCATGCTCGTTAGACCAGTGTGTATGTGCAATTTGATAATCATGCCCCGCTCAGAACTGGTCTTAACATCCGTCCTGAGAGACCTTATCACAACTGGATGCAACCCTTAGGAATGCAACAGGAATTGCAACCCAATGCCCAAGAAGCTCAAAAGACTGAACCTATTTTCATTTTTACAAAAGCAAATATTGAATCCTCACACGGGAGAAGCCAGAACCAAAGAATGGTTGACATTGCTGCAGTCGCTTAAATGATCACTGGTCAGAATTGCTGTAAATTCATTTTCTGTGGACTGACTGTTAAATCATCGAAATGTTTCAGATCGAAAATGCCAAAAAACCTCAGTGTAGGAGGAGAACTTTCAAGGGAAATAGAGGAAACATTTCGTAATTTCTGCGTCTTCAAGTTTTCTTAAGACTCACAATAATGCTTAATTGAATGAGGTAGTCTGTGCCCTCGACACCTGAGACAAGAAAAAAGAAAACACATCCATATAAATGACAAAATACGAAACACAATTACGTGCAATAGTCAGGGGGCATAAAGGGACATACATTTGAGAAAAATCAATGAGAGACATGATACAGAATGTAAGACATCTTTGTTTTAAATTGAAGGAACAGGCTGGCAGACACAAATATGCAGCCTCCCAGGAAACAGGCTGACTGTCTGCTGTATCAGTGTCCCATTGATTCAGGCTTTGTGTCTCACAATTGCCCCCCCCTCCCCGTCTCCGACAGAGCTACTTAATATGTTTGAGGGGCTCCGACGCCTCTCATCTGTAAAAGGCAGAGCTTTTCTTTTACCCACATTAGAAGTGGTGTTGGTGGGAAGGAAGTAGAATGGGTCTGCATGGGGTTACGGGTTGGGGTGGTGCTGCTGTTGCTCTGAAGTCTGTCTGGTGGGACCGAAGCTTTATTGGCTGGAAAGGGAGCCGGCGGAGTTGCAAGGGCCTGAGAGCCTGGATGAGAGGAAGCTTTTGAAACTTCCCACATCGGCATTAGAGAGATGAGCTGCTATTCAGCACCCGCTCCCAGCCTACACACCAACACATCCGTAAATACACACACACACACACACACACACACACACACACACACACACACACACACACACACACACACACACAGAAAGCCAGCCTGCATATCTGAGCAAACACACACTCACGTTCACTCGCATCCAGCAAACACACTTTGGCTTCCTTTTTATCTGCTGGTCCGTTAGATGAGACTGGGCTCTAATTGGTCCTGGGGGATATTGGCAGGACGAGCGGATCAACGAGGAGGCCAGGCCCTCTGGAGACAAACAACAGGAGAGGGAGTGGCAGGAAGGAAAGGGCCACAGCTCCACAAGTAGGGAGGGAACCGTGACGAACGAGGGCACGTAAATGAGCGGGAGGGAAGGCAGGATGACGAGGAAAAACAATGGCAAGAGGTACAGGTATCAGGTAATAGAATACCATTGACTAAAAACTATTCAGACCAATGTCTCCATACTTGGCTAATTCTACTTCAGTTTATCTATACTTCTAAACTCACCCCCCTCCCATGTGTCCCATAGGACATAGAGCAATACATGCAGAGGGGGGGTAGAGGGGAGATGGAGGTGGTTCTTGGACGAGATGAAAGGAATATGTGATCAGAGACTCTAACCTGCAGCCAGCACCTTTGTACTCCGTCCTTTCAGCAGTTTCTGCACACGGCAAAGCTGCAGGTGGTTCTCATGGCGCCTGGTATTGTTCTGGATGCGCTGGGACACATCGCTTACTGCGGTCACCGCCCCTGCGGCACACATGCACACAACACTTTTATTACCGGACATGTGAGGACACTCGCTGATCCAATCTTTTCTGAGGGATAATATGAAACAGATTATAATCAAAATCACGAAGCAGGACTGATTAATAGCAAAAACATTTGTCAGGTTATATTCCTGTATAATCACATGAACTTTAAATTGAATTGACGACATCAGAAGTATCAATAACATTGCAATAAACATTGGATAATACATTACAAACATGATCTCAGCACAGGTGCTCTTTAGTTACAAATGCCCATACATAACAAAAAGCATTTCCCTTTCGTTTACCACAAGAGCTAAAGAAGGCCTGAAGCACATGTAAATATAGAAGTACATGGTTGGAGCTATTTCAAATCTTTCTTTAAGGTCCTACTCTTCTTCTTGTCCAGGATTTATAAACCTGAGTCACTAAGTCATGTTTCATTTGTTTACAGTAAGACTTCTTTACTTTATCACAGGTAGTTTTAGAAGAAGGGTTCTATTAAGATTTAATCCGTTCAGCTTATCAATACTCCTTATTGGACTGGCACTTTATTTATCAGGCCCAGACACCTTTAATGCATGCTCTCCATGACATGCATTTTTACCAATTAAAGCAACTGCTATGTTATGATAACAACACATATGCTACAGCCCTTTTGTCGTTGGTGTGTAGAATTTTGTGATATCTAGTGTTGAAATTCTATGTTGCAGCTGAACACCCCTCACCTCACCCTCTCCTTCCAAACATGAAAAAGAACCTGTGGTAGACTTTAATTGTCATAAAAACTCAAAAGGTGTTTAGTTTGTTCAGTCTGGACTAATGTAAAAAACATGGCGGCCTCCGTAGAGAGGGTCCCCTCGATGTAAATATAAAGTATATAAATATAAAGGGTATTTTCTGGGGTATAGAAAACTACAATTCATACAATTTAGATGAAATGAACTAGTGAAAACATCATGAGGATTATTCTACATTAAATTTCTGCCAATAGTTCTCTTTCACATAAATCTTACACACTGGACCTTTAAGTGTATTGCAGGCTAACAAATGCTACACAGGAAAAGGGAAATGGGCATTTCAGGACTAAGAGCTAAGAACCTTTGCTTTTGGAGGCTCGCTCAGCATTGAGGCCTGATTGTGCTTGATTTCATCAGCCAGCACTTGCAGAGAACTTAACCGAGCTGTGCAAATTGAAATATCCAGACAGCCCTGATTGGGCCGGATGGTCTGCTGTGTGGCTCAGACTGGGCTGGGTCTTGTGTTTGAATGTGTGTGTAGGGGCACCAAAGCATGGTAGTATTCATTAGGGGGTGCTAGTCTCCACCACAGGGGCCCTCGTAGCTTATAATGCATTGCCCTCCTGCAAATCAGCCAAACTGTCAGTCTGTAATTGTATGCAAACAACAGCAGCCCAAAATAAGCTCAGCTCATTTGGTTTAAGTGTTCACTACAACATCAGACAAAGATAGGTTCCCTTCCCACCTTATCTGCTGTTGAACGTATAAGGCTGACACTAGCTAATATTAAATATTTTAACTCAATAAACACCTACAAATTAACCCTCCAAATTGCAGTTCAGATTTCTGGTGACACTGGTGGTAACAGCGGTTAAATAATAGGGGTTCAAGGTGTTTGTTGGCAAGTACATATTGACCACAGGAGAGACAAACATACTCTAAGCAGCTTCAGGCAACATCCACACTAAACTGTTTTAGTTTTAAAAATCATCACGTTTGATTCGTCTGAGTGTTTGAGCATCGAAAACAGACACTTGGAAACACGTCTGGCCCCAGTTTTAGTTTAGTTGGGTGCACAGGAGTGGCAATTTGCTCAGGTCAGTCAGAAACTGAGACTTGAAATTGTGACGTGACCTTTTTCGCTTCCAAATTGGGTCTTATCGGTTATTCCTCAAAAAGAAAAAAAAAAAAAGAAAAAAGTGGTGACTGCAAAATGGATGATGAATTACAAACATTGCAAACTTTCAGCAACAGTTTTACTACATTGTCTGTCTTACGTTTCACCATCGTTAGTTTTGAGAATTTTTCTGCAAAGTACAAGATCCTGTTTATTGTTTTATTATAACCATACATTATCTTAAGGCACTTACATAGTAAGAGACCTTAGCAGACCCAGACTCAATGTGAGCAACCATCTGCCTCATCCAGTTGGGGTGAGCGGAGAAAAATGCAGGAGAGGGGACAGGTAGGTGAGAAATGGAGCCTGAACGCTTTCTGAATGAAGAATATTTTTGTCTGTAGCACCATTTTAAAACAGAAAACATATTAGTGTGGATATTCAGAGCAAAAATAACAACTGGTGTTATACTTGATGTCACTTGGTTTCAATGAAGAAGCATAAAGAAGTCTGTCAAAAAGCTGTGTCATAGCACTGAGTGTGGCGATTTGATGGTGCATCTGTTTCCCTGTTGAAATAAAATATCTCTTCCAACCAATGCTTACGATTTAAGGACGAAAGGTGTTTTCGGATCAGAGGAACTTTTCTGGTTCTGAGTCAAGTCGGAAGACCCTGTATGTCTTACAGAAGTGATGTTTCCATACCAACCGTCAGCGAGCGTGCCACACACAGAAAAAGCCCTTGAAGGTGCTGAACGCAGTCACAGTTCTCGAGTTGTGAAAAGACACTCAAAAGTAAACTAACCCCGCTGTACTATAATATGCAAATGACGTCTTTTGGAGCGTTTGAAGAATAGATTACAGTGAGAAAACAGCATCTTGTTTTGATAAACAACTACATTTTCTTGCATTTCTATTATTTTAATCAGTGTCTAACAATAGGCAAAGTGGGCCTCAGGATAAACCAGCACACTGAGGAGAGCACGGGGGCCCAGAGGCAGCTGCAGAAGAAGAAAAGATTGAGGAGGGTGAGAGAGATGGAGGGAGGAAGAGAGAGGGAAAAAGCCGGGGAACACATTGTTCTTTTCTCTTTTTTATGTTTTTTAGACTTTTTGACTGCAGAGGTGATTCACATGCATGTTTACACATAGTGATACTTTGCTGTAGAAATACCCTGTGACAAGTAAATGTCTTGCAATGAAAATGTTACTTGAGTAAAGGTAGAAAAAGTATTAGCAAACCAAAAGAAACTGTTCTCATTATACAGAATATTCTACAATCATATCTATTAAATGTCCAGGGTTGAGAATTAGTCATCACTTTAATGTGGCAGCTTGTAAATTGGAACCCAAAGTGCAAAATAAATGTAAATATAATTGAGTAAATGCAATTTCATTGAAGATTAAAGTTTTCAGGTTGATTTGAAATAGTTATTTGAAGCTATAAAACGAGTTGTCAAGATTGGCAGGTGTGATTGACTTGTGATTGGTTGAGCAAATATATCGATTGCACTTCTACCAATGTCATCCGTCTATTATATACAGACATCTGTTAGAAACTCACGGTGGATAAGGTTGTCCATACATTTAATTATGGACAGAGTTAAGCTAGTTTTGAACAATACCCAGCTCTACTCAATTATTAAGTTGAATAGCAAAAGTGAACAACTTTCAACGAAACGCCATCAAACTAATGGATCTTCTATTAATGGTACCAATCCAAATCTATCTGTGTGAAACTAACTCTCTCACAAACTGCCTTCCTTACTTATTTTTGTACAAAGCTTTAAAAATCTTTGCCCCGGAACAAATAGGCAAATCATCAAAATAGAGAGAAGCATCCAATTACTGTGTGTCAGCCATAATAACTGCTGTAAACATTTAGAACTACATCATTAACGCGTCCAAAATAACAACAAACAGATGGATTCTAATTTCAAGCTCAACTTTCCTGCTTTTGTTCTGAGCGCCGAAACTCTGCAGATGAACTTGATCCTCAGGGCGACTTGTCTACACTAAAATAATCATGGCCTAATTGGCTCGCTTAACTTCACAACAATTACAATGTAAACCAAACAAGGCATCCGTGTAGATTTTTTTTTTTTCCTCCCTTTGTTGTACGTGTTTGGAATATTTTCCATTGCCAGCTTAAGAAAAACAACAGCTCCTAATTACAGTATTCTTGGACTGAGTTCTGGCTGAGGCATTAATAATACATCTGGCCCATTACACATTCTGAAGACGACTTCCGCCTCTTACAGCTCTTTATTCCTTTTATTCACTATTTAAAGTGTTTGACCGTGGGATGAGGACTGTTAACTTCTACGGTTAAATCTCTGACAAAGTGGGACAGTTGCCTCTATTCTACTCAGAATTGGTTATGGTTACTACAGTGGTGTAGGGCGTGAGATGCCGCCTGATGAAAACTGCTAAAGTGATGTCATTACTACAATTAAATCCAACCTGAAGGCACTGCGAGGGAAAGAGGGAGGCTTGAGGGGAGGGAGAAAGAGGAGAGAGAGAAAAAAAAAAGAGACAAAGACGAGGAAAAGCAGAAGCCCAACAAGAAAACAATAACAACAACAACAAAGCCTCTTGTGATTTTATTTGCTCGTTTGCTTAATCAGATACAATGTGATTTGTCTGGAATTTCTTTTTTCAATTATTCCCTTTACAATACAACCGTGCTGACTGTATGAAGTTCCTCCTGTACCCCCAACCCCCAATAAAAAGCAGAGGAGTTTAAAAAAAGGATCTCTAATGAGAAGAGGAAGAGGCGATGGTGGAGCGCATTTAGAATATGTACCTTCATCTTAGAGTCAGGGGCTGTTTTAATTTGTAAGCAAAGGCAGCACACCAGCAATGAGATTTTAATTGATACACATAAATAATTCCTTGTGTACATCCGCACTTGAGTCAGATTTGCTGTTTATTTGACGATTGAAATTAGTCATTATCGGGATTCGTGTTGATGTTGGAGATTTTATTTATTAATATAGCTCCCGCTTAATATCCTCTGATCCGCTCCCAATTAATTATGTCAAAATCCACATCAAACTAGAACTTTACACGCACATCTCGGCTCGCCTCGCTTTCATTTCTCCGCGAGCCGAGCACTGCTGTGACAATAACAACAAATGAGGAATGAGAGGGAAAAAAGCACTTTCCTTTGTTCCTCAAATGAAGATAATGAGGGCTGTCTTTCACTATGAGTCTGACTGGTGCGATGAAAGTCTTCACAGGTTGATTTTTTTCTTCTTCTTGTTATTGCGTGTTTGTTTCCCCACTGTTGGAGGGCTAGACTTTTCTGATGATCGTACAGCTTTGCTTAACTCTCCTGTGCTCCACGCTGCTTGTTACAGGTAGCAAGAGTCCCACTGTGCGCGAGCCAGAAGTCTCTGTGTCTAGTGATGCAAAGCACATCATCACACAAACACATCACTTGTTGTTAGGTTGCTGCCATGGAGGATCCTGACAGAGCGGGAGAGGCAACAACGCCGACCCAGGGTTCACGCGTGTGCAGCTCAACACACATCAATAAAAACACACGGTAAAACCCACACAGGATCAATCTGCAGGAATTTTCCTTGAAAAGTAAAAAGAAAAAAAAACAACGATTGGGGGCGCAGCATGATCAGAAGAGACACTTACTTGAAAGCTGCTCAAACTCTGGATTGTCTGGACAGGTGTTGGCGGTCAGGTCTTGTAAGAAATGCATATACCTGGGAGAAAACCGAAAAACAAGGTCACCATCTGAAATACGAGCGCGAGCTGAAACTAGCAAGACAGACTTTTTGAGTCATGTAGTTTTGTCTTGTCACTCAAGCCTCAATGCGGGAGAAGCACCAGCAGCGTTGTACAAAATGCACTTCAGGGGAAATCAGAAGTAACAGGCCCGAAGATGCACACAGTAAGGCTCCAGACTTATGGTGCAGATGGAGAGAACGGCTTTCTGCTTTGAAGACTTGTTGACGGTGACAAAGTCTGACAGATACAGCTGGAACACCAGGAGATGGAGATCTCCACTGGTTTTACTTTGAGGCTTCCCCAGACACATTGCTTGGCAGAAAACAAATTACTCCATCGAGGGGGGGGTTTGTAAATGACGTGTGAATCAAGAGGCAACCTGGTAATAAAATGGACTTCTTCACCTTTCAAAAAAAAAAGTTATAAAATCAGATGAAATCCATCAACCAGAAATCTGGCAAAGAGTAGATACCAATCAATGTATTGTGTTCTTAAGAATGACAGCCTAAAAACTACAAATTCAATCTGGCAAGCTCACAGGGCTCAACCCTCTAAGAAACAAATGACTTGCTCCCCTGCCCAGTCTGTGTCAGTTGAGCTACAGAGGAGCGGTCTCATTTTTTATTTATATAACATTTAAATGTCTCCGGCTACATCTAAACCAGTGCGTTTTAGTTTAATAACGCATCATTGCTATGTTGACGCCTGCTGGAAATACTACTACACACATTTGGTAATTTAGTTTGCAAACTCCAGGGCTGTGGCATTTGGAGACGATGACACCCTTGTTGTAAACACTTACTGCCAGTAACAGTTCCACCCATGAAAATAAATTCCTAATCTTACTTTTCATTATTGTTGCTCCTAGTTCATAATTTTGCTGCAACCAGGTAAGTAGACAATCTGCTTCCTGTTTAGTTAGGTGTGCAAATTCACAGTGTCACGTTTTCAGATGCGTTAGTATGGACGGGGATTATTACTGATACAGAGCTAAAACACTCATGTGGAGGGAGAGTCAGTACTCAGGCTCGGTTACCTTTGTTACTTCAGTACTCAGGCTCGGTTACCTTTGTTACTTCAGTACTCAGGCTCGGTTACCTTTGTTACTTC